TGGCGGTGGGTTGGCAGGTGGCTGGGCCAGTGATGTTGAGTGGTGGTGGTGGCAGGTTGGGATGTGGGGGTGGGTGGGGTTGGGTGGGAGCGGGTGGGTGGCTGGGTGTTGTGGTGGCACTGCATGTGTGTTGGGGGTGCGCAGTAGCAAGAGGCGTGCCTGGCCCCGGCCTGCCTCTCTGCTGCCAACTGCCGCCTGCCAGCCAGCCAGTGCGCCGCTCGCCCGCCACGCCTGGCCCCCTGCCCGCAGGCTGTGGCAGCTGCAGAGCAAGATGGCGGCGGTGGGCGGGGGCGGCACATATGAGGCGCGGCTGGAGCGTGTGGTGGAGGCGCGGGCCGGCATCGAGCAGCGGCTGCAGGTGGGAGGAGATCGGTGGTGCTTGGTGTTGTGTGCATGTGGGCGTGTGGCTGTGCGTGGTGGCCTGGGCTGCCGGGCTGCTGGTGCATCTGTGTGTGTGCGGCTCTGCTGCTGGGCTGCTGGCCCGTGCCGCTGGCCTGGGCTGGCGCCAGGCGCTGGGAGCTGCGAGCCGCCGCCCGCACTCACCTGGCACGGCCGCCGCCCGCCCCTGCGTACTTGCGTACTGCCACCTGCATGTACCGCATGTACCGCCCCTGTACCGCAGAAGCGCATCGAGCTGGTGGACTCGTATGCCCGCGTCATTGCCATGATTGAGATTGAGGTGGAGATGGACTCAGACCTGCCCGCTGCAGAAGTGCTGGGTGGGTGCCCGCCCGCCTCCCTGCCTTCCCGCCTGCTCCGGTCGCAGCTGCCTGCCGCTGCCTGCCGCCGCCTGCCCCGCCGACGCAGGCCACGGCCCCTGGCTGCCTGCCGCGTGCCTGCGTGTGGCTGCCCGGCGTGCATGAAACTGCGTCACCGCACGGCGTCGCCGTCGCTTGCTGCCTGCAGGCATCGAGGAGCAGATCCAGCGGCTGAGCGAGATAGAGTCGCTGCAGGAGGAGTGGCAGATACAGGTGGGGGCTGGGGTGGCAGGCACAGGTGTGGGCTGGAGGTGTGGTTCGTGTGTGCCTGCACCGCCAGCGGGCAGGCGGAGTGGATGTTCTGCTGGCGCACACGCAGGCGGCCGGCAGATGCAGGGCGGATGCTTTGCTGGCCGGCGGATGCGTGGCGTGTGCGCGGCCCCAGGCCCATCATCGCCGCCGCTGCATGGCCGCGCGCACGCAAACACACACACACACACCACACCACCCCTTTCCTCCTGCAGGCCGAGGCGCAGGATGAGGTGGAGCGCATGCTGCGCAGCTCGGCCATCTGAGGCTGCCCGGCGGCCCCCGACGCAGCCGCCTACCCCTCTCTGCCCCTGTCACCTACCCATCCCAGTTTTGTGCCTTGCGGGGTGCATGCGCCACGCGTGCGAGCCCGCCCCAATTTTCCCCAGCACCAGGTTAGCATGTATCGGCCTTGCCCCCCTGCTCTCTTTTGCCCCTCGCCTAGTCTCCCATGCCCCTCGCCGTCTCCTCCCTTTTGTGCGCCCGCCTCCCCGCCGCCCGCAGCGGCTGCCTGCCCGCTGGTGCTCCTCATTGCTTCTGTCCCGTGTGCTGCTTTCCCCCAAACTGCCGAGCTCGAATCACTGCCCTCGCCCTGCCTAGACCGATTTGATACGCCGCCGAGTCGCCTTGCCTCTGCTGTCAGTGCTGTCAGTGTGGAACCAACCAGCCGAATTGTAACAGCTTCAGTACCAAGCGCCCCACAGCCCCATGCCAATCCCCCTTGCGGCTGCTGCGCTTACATGCAAGGTGGGCGCCAGTGCTGTTGAAACAGCCCAGCAGAGGGCGCACCAAGCACACTGCCGCTTCAAAATGCGCTGGGGGCAGCGGCGGTGCGCCATAGCAGGCAGCCGAGGGGCGGCCTCCAGCCGCGATGCGGTGCACACATAGCTAACAAGGCAAGCGTGCACAGCCGGGCTACAGCGGCCGGGAGTCGTGGCCACGCGCCACGTCAGCAGCTTGGCGGGCGCGGGCCCTGCCGTGGGGCAGTTCAGCTGATTACAAGAGCTCGGCGCCTCCAGGTCAGCTCCGGCTCGGTGCCAGCTCAGTGCCACCTCGGCGTCGCCAGCTCAGCACCGCCAGCTCAGCGCATCCCCGGCACGTATTCGTCCTCCGACATGCCGTCCTGCCCCGCATCCGGCTCGCTCTCCTCATCCTCCCCCTCCTCCTCCTGCAGGACAGGGCGGAAGGCAGGCGCAGGCGTCCGGCGTCGCCAGGCCGCTCGCAAGGCAGACCCTGGTGCGGCGACGGCCGCTGCCAGGGCGCGTATGCGTGCACTGCATGCAGCACCACGGAGCACCCAGGGCTACCCCCGGGCACCCAGGCCGGCGCCCTCCCGAGGCCTCACCTCCCGGTACTGCTGTACCCCCTTCTTGCGGACGCCGCCGGGCCGCGGCCCCGCCCGCGGCGGTACCGCCACAACATATGCCGAGCCGTCCGCCTCCCCCGGCCAGCCGTTCTGCTCCAGCACCTGCGGCGCCTCCCCGCCCTGCGCCTGCCCCTCCTCGCCCGCCTGCGCAGGCTGCTCCGACGCCGCCTCAAGTGGCTCAGCGTGCGGGTCGGCCATGCACGCCAGGTCGACGCCGGAAGCCGCGCGGGAAGCCGCACGGGAAGCCGCACGGGAGCTGGCGCGGGAGCCGCGGTGCGCCGCCGCCGCCCTCAGCTGCCGTTCATCCAGAAACTGGTTTGCCTCCAGCACGTCCCTGCGGCGGCAGGGGGTGCGGGCGGGCGGGGCAACACGCGTGTGTGTGTGTTGGGAGGAGGGCTGGGTGCGGGAGGGAGCATGGGGGATCCAGCATGGTGGGTGGGCTGGGGAGGAGAGAGGGGATGTGCGCGCGTGGATTACGCAGCGGCAGCAGCAGCGCCAGCTCAGCGCCAGCTCAGCCCGCAGGCCCAGCCCCCGCTCACTCTTTGATGGAGGCGGCGGAGCGGCCGCGGCGCAGGCCGCCGCGCGCCGCCTCCAGAGGGTCTCCCCAGGGGGAGGGCACGCGCTGCGGACGGGCGGTCAGGCATGCAGGGGGTGATAAATGAGGGAAGCAAGGGAGCGGCGCGGCACTCACCGCCGCAATCACTGCAGGCAACGGCAGCGGCAGCGGCAGCGCCGGCAGCGGCTGCTCCCTCACCCTGCGCCGCCGCCGCACTCCGGCCTCGTCGTCCGAATCCTCCTCGCCCCGCTGCGTCAGGCGGATGGCTGCAGGCAGCGGCAGGCGGGCAGGTGGGCAGGCAAGCGGGCAGGCGGGCAGGCAGGCGAGCGGGGTCGGGCACCGCAGAGGCAGAAAGTGGCCCCCGCCAACCCACACCCTGTGGCACCCTTCTGCCCCCCCCTGGCACGTCCTCTGGCACCCTCCTGACAAACCAGCAGCTCAAGAGCGGCTCCCAACCGCAACAACCACAGCCCCGCCGCGCCGCCCACCGCTGCGCAGCTGCTCATCGTAGTCGTTGAAAGCGTAGTTGACTTTGGCGCGCGCGCGGCGAGACCTGCCGCCGTCTCCGGCAGGCCCTGTGCCGCCGCCGCCGCCGCCGCCTGCGGCCGCGCTGGCCGAGCCGCCGCTGCCCGAGGGCGCGGCGGGGCCCGAGGCGGCGGCAAAGGCGGGCGGCGGCGGCGCCGGAACGCCCAGCTTGCGCTGCACCCGCTCGGCCGCCTTGGCCCGCCGCTCCTCCTCCTCCCGCTGCTGCACGATGGCGGGGATGACCTGCGGGGGCAGTGTGTGTGCGTGTGTGTGGTGGGGAGGTTGGTGTGGTGTGCGTGGGTGGTGGTGATGGGGTTTTGGGGGGGCGAATGGGTTTGGGGGGTGTGCTGCGCGTTCCAACCATCCGGGGAAGTTGGGACACCGGCGCAGGGGATCGGTGGCAGGCACTTTTGGCACCCTTCCCGCCCCAGCGCACGTCTGGCGAGCCCCCATACATGTATGCATGCACACACTACCTGTGCCTTTCCTGCCACAAACACCCGCCCATCCACCCACCCACCCACACACACATACAGCTGGCCAGCCTGTCTCCCCTGCCGCGCTCACGTATTGGCGGATGATGAGCGCAAACTGAGCCTCCCGCGGGTTGTCCCCCGCGCCAAAGCGGTTGGCATAGTCCTGCGGGGCAGGCGGCGGCGGCGGAGGTGGCCAGGCGTCAAGCTGGTGGGCAGGTGCGAGAGGGGAGGTGTGTGTGTTTTCTTTTGTTGGGGGTGGGGGCAGGATAATTTTTTCACAAGCAGGCCCACCAATGTACACCGCCACCACCAACAGCACCGACGCGCTGCGGCCTGGCACTCAAAGTGCTGGCACGCGCAACCGCCGCCGCCGCGGGTATTGGGGTTTAGGGTTAAGCCTCCGCCGCCTCCCAGCCTGCCAGCCTGCCAGGCCGCGCCACCCAGCCACCCTAAACCCAAACCCTAAACCCACCGTGAACTCCTCCAGCGTTGTGGCCACCAGCTCCCAGCTGCCCAGCTGCTCCAGGTCTGGAGGCACCTGGTAGGCCCGCAGGCGGGCCTGCCGCTCAGCCCAGGCGCCGCCGTCGCCGTCGGAGTCGTCCCCCGGCTGCGCCCTGCGCTGCAGCTGTTGCTGCCACTGCTGCAGCTGCTGCAGCTGCAGCTGCTGGTGCCATTGCTGCAGCTGCTGCCAGCCCTGCGGCTGCCCCAGCAGGCCGGCAGCCAGCTGCTGCAGCTGCGCCACCGCGGCCGAGGGCACGGCCGGCGGCGGCGGCGCGGGGGCGGCGGCGGGGCCGCTGCCTGCTGGGTCCGCCGCAGCTGCCGCCGGTGTCGGCGCGGGCTCCGCCTTTGCTACAGGCGCCGCAGCGGGTGCAGCGGGTGCAGCGGGTGCAGCGGGTGCAGCGGGTGCCTCCTGCTCCACGCCCGCAGACGGCTCGCGGGTGGAGCCTCCGCTGGCGCCGCCGGGCGCCACCACCACTTCCTTGTACATGCGGAACTCTGCGGGGGTGGGTAGGCAGGGGAGGGATGATGGCGGTAGGCAAGGCAGGGATGATGGCATGGGGGTGTTGGACACCGGGCGAGTGGGTGGGGGTGGGAGGTGGGTGGGTCTCACACGAGGCCGAGGCAGGCAAGGACGGTGGCGAGGCGGCAGGAGACGCAGCCAGCAAGAGAGTCAGCCGGCGGGGCAGCGAGCAGGGCCAGGAGAGGCAGGCGGCGGCAACAGCAGGCGCCCCCCCCACCAGCCCACCCTTGGACTGCAAAAAGTTGAAGACGTAGTAGCGAGCCCCGGCCCGGTCGAGGCCGTTGGGCTGCCGCCTG